CCCCAGTTTGTGAGCGGTGGCTCGAGAAATAATCCCTAGCTGCAGGGCTGAAGTTGTGGCGCGCTGGGAGAGGCGATTAGGAGTTTGTTTTTCAGCAGCAGAGTTAAAAAGGACAAGTAGCGGTGTTCGGCGGGGCAGCTAATTTCGGGTGGAGGGAATCGCCGGGAAGGATGCCCCCGTGTGAGTGTGACAGGGGCATAGTACAGCTTTCTGAGACCCGTCGGTCAGGTGCTTTTTAATTTCAGGTGTTTGAACAGTGTGTGTCCCCTGACCGGGCCTCCCAGCCCCTTCCTTCTGTTCTCCTCGCAGCAAATCTGCTCACTGTAGTTCCCACGTATCATTTGTAAAAGCTGACCTGCTTTAAAGGATAGTCCTCTCGAGTATCTAACTGCGCAGTCACTTTCTGCTCCCGCTGTAAATGAGGCTAGTTTGGGATCATCCTGCTTAAGGGGAAAAGGGGAGTATATGGGTTAATGTTTCTTAAGAATTTATTTGCAGTGCAGAAGTTGGTAAATATGCTCCAGATTAAAAGAGAATTATCCTAAGCTAAGATTTCCAGAAAGCTTTGTGCTGTTTGGTAGCATAAAGATCTTAATTAGGATGCCACAGCGTAAGGATTATTTTTATTTACCATAGGAATGAAAATAATGGCTTTGCTGAGTAAAATGTGTTAAGTGAGATACATTTTTAATATTTTAAATCAATGTATCAGTGTGTCAATTGTTGTGCCTAATCAGTTTCTATGTGGGACACTTCCAGCCAGGTTTGCAGATGGATTATATGACTCCTATATGAGGATAGATCAGATTAGGTACCAAGAGTCTACAAATGAAGAACACAACCCCTCAGGACTTCCTTCCCTTGGAAGATCCAATGTGAGTATTTTAAAGGTCTTCTTTGTCTTCACATTGTTTTGACTGGCAGTGAAAACTGTTAAGTAATCGTACATCTCACTATACACAGTAAATTAATGAAGTAGGATATTACAGCTTTGTAATAGCTTACTAACATTACTGCTTTTTGTAAGCATAACAATGATGTGGTATTGCATTCAATACAGAACTTGCTTCCTAGCATTAGAAATCCTACTTTACTATCCTCTGCTCATATTTCAGTCAAGGAAGTTATTTTACAAATTGTTGAAGCGTTCTGTCATATCATCTTGTATAGTGATAAATATGTAAATCCACACATGTTTTGCTTTAACTCCAGCAGATTTCCGTTTTAGTTTTCCTCATGGAAATTCCAAGAGATAAGTATTTATGAACAGCAAAAGGATCGTTGTGGGTTTGCATGTCTGCCAAGCATATAACAAAAGTATCTTTCTCCAAAAATTTGGCGTTATCTGCCACTTTGTTTGCTAGCAAAATAGCTCTTTATGGACTGAAGGTGTTAACGTGCTTCTTTATAAAAGCGTTAAATTTCCTAAGCAGATGTGGAGTTAACGAGATCTTTCCTAAATTGTTTCAGTTGAGCAATAGGAGTCACCTTCAGCTGTGAAATGATCTTACCTTTATATCTTTTTTAAAAATGTATTTGGCCTCTTGCTGCATTCTGGTAGAACTGAATGTTCCTACAGAACCTCTTAAAAAAGTCCTCTCTAAAAAGTGAAAATAAAGAAATTTCATCGAGTAAGATGCATTTGAAAAATATCACCTTGTGGAAACTGTTACCGTGTACTAGCAGTTAGTTTGGTCTGTGTAAAATTCACCGAGAAATTCAGTAGTGTGGGTGTATGTTTTCCCTTTTTGGGAATACTGAGAGAGAGCAACAGAGATTTGTTCCTTTAAATGATTAACAACAATATGTTTGAGGGTTTGGGGGGTTTTTTTGAACTCTTAAAATGCAGTGTTTAAGGTGTAACATAAGTACAGTTGTTCACAAGGATCAGAGATCAGTAGAATGGAACTATCCAGTTAAGTATAACTGTATGAATATTTTGTTTCCCTGGTGTGTCTTATCCTTCATCTATATTTTGTCCATCAAACCTGTTAACTTTTTAAGGTAAGATTAAGGATTGTAAACTAACAGGTTTTGCCATGAAGGCACACTAAGAAAACATTAGCTTAGTTGTATCTTGCGAGCAGAAACTGAGATTAAAGCATGTAAGAAAGAACATCTTGATATTCAATTTTAATGGCAAAATACTTGGAATGAGGTGGTATTTGGTTTCCTTCTTTCCAAGATCTTTGTATTGGGGTATAATGTTACATGGGAGTTGAAAACTTCTGATGTCTGCAGCTGTCCCTTCTTTTTATCTTGCCTATATAAGAGAACATAAATATCTCTTCCTTGAGAATACATGGGTTTAATTCCATTTGTGAAAATAACTGGTGCACTTTTGAAAAACCAAGTCGACAGGAACTGTATTTTAAAAAAAAAAAAAAAGCTGTGAAAGTCTTCAACAGGGTGCCACTTGTGTTGTTAGTCATTTCTTGATGGCTAATAGCAAGTTTATCAACAAAATGACCTGTGCAGTCCTTGATTTCTAAAAGAAAGCTGCTGAAAAAAGGCTGATGTCACCCACAAATCATCTGACTCTTCGTGTAGCCTTTCTGAGTTCAAGTGAAGATTGATCTATATTTGTGTGTCATGGTCATGTTTTGGTAAATTTCTAAGAATTAAGACTATTAGTCTTCAGTACTTATACATGTTGAGCCAGGTTTGCGGTCCAAAGCTGTATTTGCTTTATTAAGAAATAGTTCAGGGAAAACGGAATCACAAATTCCTTCTTTATTTAAGAATTCAAAGTTATGAACTGTTTGTCACATACAGCAGCATTAGTAGAATTACTATTATTCCTGATGAAGAATGTTTAGATACAACATTGTTTGAATTAAGTGAAAGTCAAGTATAGTTGCAAGGCTTTGGAACTCTATATCATGTTGCCAGAATTGATGGCATTCAGACTGTTAACACTCTTTTGGTAATCAAATACTTGGAAAATATTTATGTAAGAAAAAAAGTAGCATTTATGTAATATAGTAGGGGCATTTTTGAAGTCTTGGTGCTTAAATCATTCATCCAGCTACAAAAGGCTACTTCATAGAGGCCTTGCTAATATAAACTGCCATAGAGATGTTCCCTGTCAGGATAGTTGTCTACAAATGTGTAGTTGTATTTTTTCAGTAGACACAATGATAAAAAGCTGCTTCTGCTGTGCTTGCAATTGCCACTACGTGGGTTTCAATATCAAGCTCTTCATTTCAAAGGTGTAAATAAGATTTATTCTGTAGGGACAGGTTCCCCACCACCCCGCCCCCAGCTTTATAAAACAAACAAATGTGAACCTTGTTCCACGCTTAACGTTCTGTTTATTTGTAAATGTACTGCTTGTCTGTTTAATTTGAATAGACTTTTAGTTAGGTTTGAAAGTATGTATGTCATTCTTATCTCAGCAGTTCAGCCAGACTCAAAGAAAAAGGTGTTTATCCTAAGCTACCAGGGTTGGGGGTGTGGTGTGTTTTTTTTGTTTTGGGATTGGGTGGGTTTTTTTTTTTTTTTTGCTGGGGTGGGTGTTTTGTTTGTTTTTCTTAAGAGTTTCTGGAAAGGCGTGTCTCTTACAATACGCTGTCTGTATTTTTGGATTGATGTGGTTCAGAGTAGTGGGACTTAATAGGAAATATCCGATGCCCTAGTCACCGTTGATCTAGGACAGATTTTTACAGGAAGTACCCATTTTCTGGGCTTGTGAGCAAGAGTGACTGTTTCAGGGCAGCACCAACAAAAGGACTCTTGAAAGAGAGGTGTGTAGTTGTTTTTTGGCAAGAGTAATCACTTTCCTTATTTACTGACTGTGCTGTGATGTTGGATTGTATGTAACTAAATAGGAATTTGGTTTTATTGCTGTGGATCTACAGATTTATTTTTTATTTTTGCTTGATTCCTGTGTAGCTATTTCAGTTTCCAGAGTTTCGGTTTGGCATGTATCTCAAATCCTTATTTTTAGATTATAGGCCAGAATGGAAAACAGATGTTGCTACCCTAGTCATGACTTCTTCAGTGTTGCATAGGATAAAATAACACCTCTTGCTGTCTATCAGTGTGGAGTGCCACTGAGGTGAAAAGGGGAATAACTGCTGCTACAAGTAAGGAACAGAATTCCAGGGAGTTCAGCATTTACCAGTCTGTAAAAACAACAAGCTTGTAATGCTTTTCTCATTTTTCTATTTTATTGTTGATACATTATAAATACTTATGTCTGAAATTAATGTATGGCAGTAAGAGGCAGTTGTTAAAGACTACTTTCAAGAAAGTTTGGGTAAAAGGAATGTTTTTGATTATTCGGTTGCTCTCAAATACAGTAATGCAGCTATCGTGATCTCAAAGGGAGTTGGGGATACAATGCGTTAAATCATGCATGTTGTTTAGTTTTGTGTTTTTGGTGGTGGTGTTGGGGTTCTTTGTTTTGTTTTTATCTTATCCTGGTTCTTCATCCTTCTGCTTCTTGTTCAGCTTGGTTACTCCAGCTTTATGTCACTTGCTGTCATTTGCTTGTCTTCCTTTGGCACTGTTGTCTTTGCAATATTCCTAACACTTCTCTACACATCCATGTTATGTTGCATGTCTCAGACAGGTGCAAACTGCATCTGTTGTCGGTTTTGTTTTCTGCACCCACACTTAAAGCTAAACATAGCTGTTTCCCCGGCTGTTTTCTCACTGTGGGCATACTAGTTAAGATAGGTATTGTGTCCTTGCTTGGGTGGCTGTCTAGAGTTTACCCTTTAGGGACTCAAAAGTACACTACGTTTATGTATGCTCTTGTTTAAGTAAGTTGTGTTTTCTTCATGTACCTTTCTATAACTGTGCTTATAACTTGAGTGAGCACAGAGAATGCATCCAGCATCTTATATTCATTCCTAACAAAAATGCAAAGTGTGCTGATATTACAAATTTTGTTTTACGTGGTATTGATTTTTTTTCTTAGTCCCTACTTTAAAAGAGAACGTAAAGCTTATTTGTTGTTTTCCCATCTGTAGGTTTCTAGCCACAAACTTGCAATGAAGGATCACCCTCTGACTGGAAGTCAGGTCAAAGTTGAGCAATTATTTGAGGACTCTGGCAACAGAAGGAGTAGCACTCTTCAGTCTGCAGGAATTAATAGTTCGGAAAGATCTCTTCCTTCCCTGACAAAAGATAAAAGTATAGACAGCTTAAGCACTTCTAAATGTGCTGGTAGTTCCTCAAAAGCACACAAAGCCATTTCCCAGGCTCCAGAGCAAGCTGTCAAACAGTACAAACATCAGTTATCTGCTTATGAGCAGCAAGAGATATTTAATTTTTCTGAAATTTACTTTGTGGGTCCAGCTGCAAAAAAGAGGCAAGGAGTAATAGGTGGCCCCAACAACGGAGGTTATGATGATGATCAAGGTAGCTACATTCATGTGCCCCATGACCACCTTGCTTACCGGTATGAAGTACTCAAAATTATTGGAAAGGGCAGTTTTGGACAAGTTGCTAAAGTCTATGATCATAAACTCCACCAACACTTAGCCTTAAAGATGGTTCGCAATGAAAAGAGATTCCATCGCCAAGCGGCAGAAGAAATCCGGATTTTGGAGCATCTGAAGAAGCAGGATAAAACTGGTAGTATGAATGTTATTCACATGTTGGAAAGCTTCACTTTTCGTAACCACATCTGTATGACCTTTGAACTCCTGAGTATGAACCTGTATGAGTTGATTAAAAGAAATAAGTTTCAGGGGTTCAGTATCCAACTGGTACGCAAATTTGCCCACTCTATACTGCAATGTTTGGATGCTCTCTATAGAAACAAAATCATACACTGTGACTTGAAGCCAGAAAACATCCTCCTAAAACAGCAAGGGAGGAGTGGAATCAAGGTCATAGATTTTGGGTCCAGCTGTTTTGAGCACCAAAGAGTCTACACATATATTCAGTCTCGATTTTATAGGGCACCAGAGGTAATTCTTGGAAGTCGCTATGGGATGCCCATAGATATGTGGAGTTTTGGCTGTATTCTGGTGGAACTATTGACTGGATACCCTCTTTTTCCTGGAGAGGATGAGGGAGACCAGTTGGCTTGTATGATGGAACTTCTTGGAATGCCACCTCAGAAGCTTTTGGATCAGTCCAAGCGAGCCAAGAACTTCATCAACTCGAAGGGTCATCCTCGCTACTGCACTGTAACTGCACACGCAGATGGAAGAGTGACCCTTAATGGGAGTCGATCGCGCAGGGGTAAACTCCGAGGTGCTCCAGGGAACAAAGACTGGGTGACAGCGTTAAAAGGCTGTGATGATCCCTTGTTTATAGAGTTCTTAAAAGAATGTCTTAGCTGGGATCCTTCTGCACGCATGACTCCGAGTCAAGCTTTAAGGCACCCTTGGATTTGTAAACGAGCACCCAAACCACCCAGCACTGATAAAACCTCCAGTAAACGGATATCTAATTATACAAGTTCTTTCCCAGGAATAGGTTCCAAATTGCCTCCTGTAGTTGGAGTAGCAAACAAGCTGAGGGCTAATTTAACATCTGACTCCAATGGCAGTATACCTCTATGTACTGTGCTACCAAAACTGGTTAGTTAGTAGAGAATTATGTATTTCCAGAATACATACCTTCTATTTTAATTGTTTGTTAATAACATGTAAGGAAGTTAAATGCAGAGGTTTTTAATGGATTTACTTTTTATTAAATGCTAAATTTTGAATATAAAAAGTTCAATCAAAATATGAACATTTAAAGGGCTAACTTTTATCAAATTTTCTCAGTTGCGATGTGGCGCATAATGCATCACTTGATAGGTCGGCACATCTGTTAGGTTGAGTAAGATGACACTTTAACAGATGTACTGTTTAATAATGCTGTTTTAGAAATCAAACTATTTCTTATCAAGATGGCTTAACAGATTCTTTGGCATAAGATGGCAAGGGAAATTGATTTTAAAATACGTTCTTTAAGTTAATCCCCATGTGAACTCTTTTTATTTTGGGGAGATTTTTTACATCTGTTGTCAAAAGCACAAATGTGCTAGTGTAATGCATTAGGAAGTTTTGCTTGCGAACGGCTAACTTATGTTTGAAGATTTTGATTTCTCTGCGCTGCTTTTCCCTTATCCGTACTGTCTGAGATCTCAGAAAAATACCAGAGGATATAGCCACCAGAGGAATTTGGTGTCAAAATGTCATAGTCTGATTTTTTTCGAAGAAGCCTAGAGTTGTCATGGAACACAGGCTATACCTGAATAAAACTACTAACTTCTGCTACGCTTGCTATTTCCCTTCAAAATCAGGGGGAATTTAGTCAGGGGAAAAGTCAGGGGAGTTTAAAATTGGAACTGGCCCATCCCATCACAAGCATGGGCCAGTTTGTTCAGAACTAATGAATTAATTACACATTTATTTGAAGCTTGAATTTAAATATCCAGTTTTGCCAGATGCGGGGGGTGTGTTGTTTTTTTTCCCCTGTGTCATTCCCAAAGCAAAAGTGTTGAACTTAAAGTTAACTGTTGATACTAGAGGCCGCTTTATACCTGTTTGAGATTCTGGTCGTTTAAATTTTTTTTTGTGCGTGTGTGTAGAGTGAGTGCCATAGAACTACATGGAGCTCTTTTTATTGAAAAACAAACATGCCATCCCTGTCAGACAAGTAAAATTTTAAGGGCCAGCCCTGTAACTAGAAACCATGTGTGGGACAGGCCTAATAATTGGAAGAGTGCTCTGAAGTCTAATCTGTGAAATATCAGGAAAGACTGATAAGGTACAGACAAACTGGTGGATCCAAATCCAAATACGTTATGGGAAGAATTGCTTTATTTCTAATCATATTCCTTCAGGCTTTCAAAAGAGAGATGCCTAAGTTTTTGTATGCTTGAAGTATGTAAGCTTGTATTTCCTTTATCTTCCAAGAACATAAAATGGTGGTGTGACCTATAATGACAACAGCACAACTCTCTCAGGTTTTTACTCCTTGGAGCCACATGGCCTGAATCCATTTACAAAAACGTCTGATCTCTTGCCAGGTGCTTGAAAACAATTTTAAATACAGTGTAGAGCTTTTAAGAGCAGAGTGTTTTATATTTAATGAGTTTCTCTGTAGCAAGTTTTTAATGTTAAAACAAGGAGACTGTCTGTATACAATCAAAGGAATTATCTGTGTGATCTTTAGGATAAGTTGACCAAATGTTCAATACAAGACCCTTGTTCTGAGAAGATGGGGCTGTGTTTTCTCCTCTGTTATCTTTAATTACAGTACTGGTGAAATGCTGGATGGAAGGCTGCATAAAGAGAAAAAAAAGTCAGAAAGGCAGAGCCCAAACTCCAGGCTTTCCAAGCCTGTTTAAACTGACGTTCTTACATATTTAACTTTTCTGAGTTCTTTCATTTTACAAGTGTCGATTCAGTAAGGTTTAGTAATCATATTAAAATAACAGTCTAGCTTTTATCCATGCAGTTACAAGTAAGACCAGTGTGTATGGTACGTTCATGGTTCACTTCTTAATAATGCATGACCAATGCTTTTTTATTTTACTCAACTGAGTTAAATTTTATTTGAATGGAGAATCAGGGAAGCAGATTTTATAGAAGTGCTAGAAGATACCATGATTTCACAAATTCTCTAGTAGATGTGGCACACTTCCAGAAGCAAGAAACATTCTTCTCCTTCCTCTGCCCTTCACTCTGTTTATTTTGTATGAAATATACCTGGGCAGGGAGAAGGAAAGGACCTCTAAGTAGCAATGGCTTGGTAAGAAAGATGCATAGAAAAAGAGCACTTTGTATGTTGAGGCTGTAAAGTGATGGTAGTGCCTAAAACCTATAGGTAGATAGGAGAGCCTTCATGTGCTACGAGCTGTACAAGCAAAAGACAAAACAGCCCGTCCCTTGGGAAGAATGAATATTATCCTGGTTCAGAAATAACTTTCACCTATCAAATGCCAAACTTAGAGTGATTATTCTACTATGACTTCTGGGAACTGATTACTCTGAGGTAACCTCTAATGTAACAGCCTTTTGTACACATACAGTGCCGTCATTTGAGGCTCATGCTGTGAAACGAGAAATATAGTAATTAGCAGGCAAGAACCCTGCTTCTTATCTAGAAGGTGTGTTCACCTTGACCTGATTGAGCAAGGTGCCCTTTATGAGATATATGTTGAAGATCTTTCTTATTTGGAACTACTCTTATGGTTTAAAATCAAACACATAGTTAACTATCTTGCTGATTTGGAGCTCTTGTCTATATAACTATAGTAGATGAGAAGGAAAAGGAAGCAGTCTCAAAGGATTTCAGCTGTGTGGAAAAGGATGTCTTCAAAACCCAGAGAATAATACAGTTGAGTACGTTTCATCATTACTTCCGTTTCTTAAGCCCCGTTTTTCTTTATACAATGTTTGCTTTCCAAAGAATAGCGTTACCTGATACTCCCAAACCAGGAAACCATTTAAAGTAGATAATAAACCTCATGTCTGGGAGAGAGCTTAGGAATCATCCCTGTACATACTTTGCACGTAGAATCCCCTGTGAAGTAGTATAGGAGTTGTACGCAGCCACACTTACAGGGTTGGAAGGCAGACTGCGTTGTTGAACAGTGTCATTTATAGATGACAGCCATGCTCGTACAGGCTGTCTCGACGAAGATACAGCAGAATCTCACAAACTCACACTTTATTTTTTGGAAAGGTAAATGCTAATGAGGTCTGAAATTGTCAAAGGTTCATCAGTTCTAGTGTTTGTGGTACTGGTTAGAGTGTTAAAAACAGTATAAAACTAAATTTGTCCAAACAGACTAACAGAATAGTTTTTCATTTTGTGATAACTCTCTATTTTGCGAATTTGTTAGTCTGCCAGTGTTAGTGAGGTTCTACTGTAACTTAAAGCATGTTCTCCTTGGAAGTTGGCACAAAACAAATACAAATGACTTAGAAGTGTGACATTGTTTTGTTGTAAATCTAAGACTTTAATGAAATCACCTGAACTTTTTTAAAAAAAAGTTTCTTATAATATTCCTTCTGTTTTACTACATTGTTAGTCTCTGTATTGTAAATAACATGTTCTGTTTTAGCTGTTTGTTTTAGCAATATTTCTTACATCAATGACTGATAAGAGCACAAGTGTCAAATATGAATGATAAACATTACTTTTACACTGGGATCCAAATATTATCTGATTGTTCAAGTTGCAAGGAGAAAGTTGTTCTTTTGGGTTTTTTTGTTTTAAAACTCAGTGGGACAATGGAGTATTCTTCCACTATGCAACGTGGTATTACAGACAGACATCAAAACAGACTGCTTTTGGTTCTTTACAGGCTTGATCTTACTTAACACCAACTGTTGAATATGGAACTTCTGTTTTAAAATAGTGAGGTCTTCCACATGAAGCAGACGCTCCACAGAATTTTTTGTTTTTCTTCTTACGCAGTTTGAATAAGAGTTCTAGTCTTATGGCAATGGAAGAATTCAGAACAAAGTAATTGGAAGGTTTTGTGGCAATTTTTATGAAAGAGTAGGCGTGTTGCTCAATCTGAAGTTGTTTACAATAATTGTGACCTGTTAAGACTTTGATGCATTTGAAGACTTTTTAAGTCGTAGGAATCTTTAAAATAATTATTTATCATTAGAGGGGTCTTTGCAATAGTCATCCTCTTTAAAACTACCTCTGAAATAAATCTAGGGCCCTTTTTTAAAGGGATATTCACTGCAAACTATAGTTCTCTTTCTTGATACTAATAGTTGTTTTGGCTGTGAAACATACACATGATGATCTCAGCAATGTCTTACTAATCCTAGCCATACAAGCAAAAGGCTGATTCTGCACCCAGAGATCTGTGCTGAAATGATTGATACAAATCCCCTGCCTGCCAAAGTTTAATACTGTTGTAGAAGTAAAAAGCCAAAATAATATGGAAAGATCTGCAGTACTTCTATGCAGTACCCAACTGAGATTTAAAAACAAACTGCAGCAAAAGAGTTTCTTAATGAAAAAGCTGCAGTTTTTCTCATGTGGTGAGCACTAGGAATTGTGCATACCTGGCAATTTTGAAAAAATTGGACATCAAGTTTTTGTACTTGGTGTATACCAGTGTTATTACTTTTTTCTTTTTAATATTTTTCTTTTGATAAGAGTTTGAAGAAATCATACTTCATACTTCCAATAAAAGATCTCTTGAGTGTTCTGAAACTCCATTGATACCTTACTGTTTTATAATTCCCACTGCAACATGTAAAATCCTTGAGTCCTCAGAACAGTCTTGGATAGGTGAACATTGTCCTCGCTGTGTTTGAAAGGGTGCAATGATTTTAATCCAATTACAGTTCTTACAGGCTAGCTAATTAGCTCAGTAAGTCTATGTTGCTCAAAATAAACAAACAAACATGTTCCCTATACATAGTACTGTGCCTTATTATTTTAGCAGCCTGCATCTGTCTCAATGCAATCAAATTACTATTCAGGGTTTCTTATACATTGCCGGATGTTCATACTGAATGTCAGTACGTCTAAAGAATTTGCAAGTTAGCCTTTTTATTATACATATTGTGATGAGGTGTAATATGGTGGAGAAAGTAGAAAACATTTAAGGTGCATGTGAATTTAACTTTCTCTGTGAAGGAGCACTCTTGAAATAAGTCAGTTTTAAACTATGTATCTAAATGTAGTGAACAGATTTTTCCTAAAGTTGTACTTCAGCTCATTATTGAAACAAAATAAATGCGTCATTTTCTTTAGCAACACACTGTGTAAATTCCTAAAAGAAGTACTTGACTTAAAGTATTAATTATTTCCAGGTGGTATAACCTACCTTGTATTGCCAGAGATTGCATTCTGTGGTGTCTAACAAGAGAGCAGTACAAAATTTTCAGGCTTTACATGAGATGTTTACGATGCTATATTTAAAACAAACAAACAAAAAATCTGTGTATGGAAGCGGAAAGTGAGACAAGTGAGCCAGGAAAACACTTTTGCTCTACTGGTATTTCAGTCGAGCTTAGCTTCACATGTGAAAACAGCAAACTATTGTAGTTTCACGTGTTTGGAGGGTGGGGGGAGGAAGGGGGAAAGAAATTGGTAGATTAACACTTTGATTCAGAGCCTGAAAATCACTATTGATTTGAGATGTTAGCTTTGCGTTCTGCTGTTTTTGAACACGCTGGCTAAATTTTATATCCTTTACTTATTATTTGCACATCTATTGTCCTTAGAAGCTCACAGAAACCTGCAATGGACAGCTTTGATTTCAGTGGGCATATGCTAAACGTGATGAATGCTCTGGTCTGGCAAATGTTCTTCCCATTAACGGTGCTGTAATTAGAACATATCAAAGTTTTGCCATAGCATTCTTCAGTTGTCACTTTCTTATTTAGCTCACTGGGCTGTGGGTGTGTTTTTTTTTTTTTTTTTAAGTCCAGAATCCTCCTTATCCCTAGGCTGAAAGGAGAAATCCAGTAATAGCTACTTAAGAAAGATTTGCTTTTATTAGAAACCTATAAATGGGTAACCTACTGTACACAAGTAGATATTGGAATAGTTTGAAGATGAAATCATGCTGCAATAAAAAGGTCTCTAGCTATGGCATATATGATTAAATGAGGCATGTTAGAGGCAAAAGCAGTTTGTGGACAGCAGTGTGAATTAGTTTTTCCCTACGTGTTTTAATATGATTAAATGGCAAATGTTTGATTAAAAAATATTTACAGTCTGAAAAAATAACAGAATATATACATACAGGCATTTAAGTGTGCTTTGCATTTCTATGTATTTATGTTTATAGTATGTATATACACGTGTGTAGCTATGTATGCCTACAAACGCAATTTCTACTCAGTCAGGTTTCCACAATTACTGATTTTCATAGGGCCGCCTCTATGTGAGGTTTTTATATGAATGAGTGGTATTTTCTCAGGCACAGCACCTCATTTAAAAACAAGCAAACAAACAAACTTGTTTTGCTGCGCTGCAGTGCTTGCTAATATAACCTAATCGGCTATTCCGTTTCCCAGATTCTGCTTTTGGAGTTGCACAGTTTATGCTAGCTAATGAACTGGGGAATCAAACAGTAAAGCTGTATTTGAAGAATTCTACCTGTTCAACTTATGCTGAGGGATGTCAATTAAAAAAAAAAAAAAAAAAAGCTGCATCTCTTTGTACAAAGAGTCAGGTCATGGGGCAGCAGCCCTTATCTAAAGGCAAGTGCCAAGAGCCTTCTAGGAAGAGAAGCTGTTGCAAAGGGCCTCAGAATTACCCGATGATTCTGAACGTTTGAGCATATCTTTTAGTACCTGTAGTAGTATTAATTACTGACGATATCTGGACTCCTCACGTACAGGCTGTTGTCATGTGCTCCCTGCCGAAGGGGTTCTCCATCTGTAACCCCACGGACACAGGGGTTCGAGCGACTCGCACTGTCGCAGGCTGGCTCACCTATTTCAGCTGTTGCTCCGGAGCTGCCTGGCAATACTCATCTGGGTAGCACTAAATCCCTTGCTGGAGGGCACAGTATCGAGGTGAACGCCTGCGCCTGTGTGGCCCGAGCGCGGCGGGAGTCCTCCAGGGCTGCCTGGTGGTTCTCGGGTCTCGTATACGCACCCGGTGATCTCGCTGGAGCGGTTAGCCTGTGACTCAGGAGCGTGTGGATCTAAGAGGTGAATTTTGCCCATAATTAGGTTTTCTTTAAGTGCTGGCTAGTAAGCTAGTTCTAGCCTTTATGTGGTTCATCTAATCCTCTTTATAAACCAAATTCTTTGCTGCACAGAAGACGAATGATTAAGCAGTGTTGGGTTTGTTTTTTTCCCCCTTTTGTCAGATTATCCTATAGGGCTTTAAAAACACTTTTCAGGACAGCCACGTGCACAGATGCTCAGAAACGTCTCTTCCCCTGAAGACTGAGCACGCAAGCGCGCTCTTTGAACGCAGCGCGTGCGCCGTACCCACCCGTCTCGCGGCAGTGTTTACGCAGGCGTGATGAACGCGCAGGCAAGGACCC